TGAGGTACATATACAGTGATCGTCTTAATAGCTTTTGTTTTGGGAGGATTGAATAGTTTTAATGTATTATAAATGATAGGATTTAGAGATATTCAATTTGGTTTTACTGATGGTAAATATGCTATATATATATATATATATATATATATATATATATATATCTATATATTTTGTTACAGTCTAGGAATTTTTTTTCTATTGCCCGATTGCATCTAATATTACATTTATCAATCAATCAATCTTTATTTGTATAGCGCCAATTCATAACAAATGTTCTCATAGCCTACATAAAACATGTTATTTTAATGTCTTTGGTCTCTATTTGTAAGGTATGAATTGTCTTGATGCTTTGTCTGCAGTGGACAGATGTAGCACTACACCAGAAAACTTTCTAGTAAAAAATAAAAGTGTTTTATTACTTGTTTCAAAGAAATACATTTAAAAAAATTAGGCTCTGAGTTAACTTATTTTTATTTCAATTAGGATAACCTTTTTTTCTCATAAAGAAAGTCTCTTCAGATTAGAAGACAAGGCAACACTTCAGTACTTATAGCCTACTTAAAATGATAACATATGAGGATTTAACAGGTCCTTTAATAATAAAAAAAACAAAAAACAGATTACTCAAAACCAAGTAGCAAATAGTGCAAACCCTTTGACCCTTTGCATCAGGTGAGGACGCCACCTGTTGGAAAAGAGGTAAAAAAAATGACTGAAGGTGTCTGCAGCATGCTCTGCAGATTGGAAAAGGTACCTGCCAACATATTCATACAAGAAAGCAGATTGTAAATAAAAGATTTTAGTAGGCATAATGCACACTAGATAATCTACCTGCTTTAATATATAAATAAAAACAATACAGCCTGATATGATAATTACACTGCAGTGTTAATGTCTCTCCAGTCCTTACAGCTGCATGAAACAAACACAACTATCTGATCAAGGTAGGACTTTTCTTTTCATTTAGTGTTTATTAATACCTCATCACGATTGATTACCTTTTAAAAAGGCTTTCATTTTGTATCTCTGCTGTCTTTCTTTACATTGAAAATTGAAAAGCTAAATAAAAAACAAGATATCTAGCAGGCTGAGCAGGAGGCAGATTAGGATTTTTTTTTTTTTTAAGCTAGCTGGTTGTTATCCGTTTTTAAGTTGATAAAAACTTTAAATTTGTACTTCTCAAGTGTTGTGTGAATTTCAGACAGTAAGTAAAAAAAACTGGATTTTTTTCCAATTTTTTCTGATGAAGAGTTTTATCTGTAAACCTTGTGTGTAATATTTAATATGCTAACTCGAGATTAGCTACTAGCTGTTACTGAGCAGTATCATAATATTTGAGTTAACATAGTTAGCGGTGTTATGTCAGGTGAGAGTTAATTAAAGATAATAATCATAGTTTATTATCGTTGTTTTATACATGTAAAAATATAGTATGTGTTTGCCAAATATGGTAAAGTATTCAAATGACAATGTGTTTGTTATGTACTCCTCTACAGGTAAATACAGGTAACCTTCTCCAGTACAAGTACCTCAACCTGAGTGAAACACTTCAGTAATAACTCTGTCTCTACAGCAAAGACAAGAACGTGAAAATATGATTAAGTATTGGAATTGGGGGAACACAAGTGCATAGATATTCTTAATAACTTCACATAAAGGCAGATGTAACAATTGTAATATCTGAGTCATTAACAGTTGTATTGCACATACAGTCATTAGTCAATGTCAGGAGATGTTATCGCTTGTTAGCAGGTGTTTGCAGGTGTATGAACAGATATCTGTACATGTTGGCAGTAGCAGATGTAAGTAGATGTCTGTAGCGGATGTTTGCTGGTGGTGTGTAAGTCTCCTGAAGGTGGTTTTCTGTTATTCTCCTCCACAGAACTTACCTTTGTTTTGTTTTTTCAAAATCAATGAAAAGTCTGAACTAATGGTTACTTCTTCACAGGTAATCATGCACCTGACTGTTTCCAATAGAGTACTACAGTAATAAACTCTTACTGTTTTACTCTTCAGTACTTTTTTTTATTGCTGTAGTAATCTTTATTAGTGTAGTACTCTTGAATATTGGGGCTCTGTTACATTTTTTTTATTACTCCATGTTTATTGGATTACAGATTTCAAAGACAATCACTTGTGAACTAGGTTGGTTTATCAGTTTACAGACGGCACACTCTGCTAAATCTGCGTGAACAGGTAAAGAAGATGACCTCCCTGCCATTCCCCGCTCCTGTTCATGTCGGGGTTGTGACCACTGGAGGAGAACATGCCCAGCTGCACAAATACACTGTGGAGAGAAACCTGAACAAGATAGAGAGGCTGCTAAAGAGAGGTGAGCCACATATATAATTCTACTACTTATAATAATAATAATAATGATAATTGTCTTGCATTCTGATGATCATATATTAAGTCTCACTGTGTCCTGGTCTGGCTTAGACCTGGTCTTGCTATAGTTTCACTTTGTCTTCATGTGTTCCAGGTGTGGATGTGGACTGTGTGAACCATATGGGTCAGACTTCTCTTTTCTGTGCTGCTTTGTGGGGACAAGTGAAGTTGACAGACCTGTTGCTTGATTATGGAGCAGACCCAAACCAGTAAGTCAGTTTTTAATTTAATTGAAACTTTATTTAACCAGGTAATTAACCCATTGAGTCATGATGTTAATTAGATTGAGATCAGGCTCGTCTTTAGAGTAATGTTTGAGCTTAAAGGACAAAAAAAGAAACAGCGTTGATAAATAAAGAGTATCAAGACTCAAACCCTATACGGTCTGCAGTTTCAAGATGCGATATCTCTCTATAATTTGGTGACGTGTGCTGCTGGTTTCAGCATTTGGCCCTTTTTCAGAAACAAAACTGTGTCAGATTAGATGTTCTGTGGAATAAAAGCTCACACTTTGAGCAGGAGGATCTCAAGCACCTTGTTGAGCTCAGACTGGCTGAGGGAGAAGCCCTTTAAAATATCTGAGCATGGCATATCAAACAGCGATTGAAACGATTGCAGCAGTGATGGTTTCCTGTTTGATTTTAGGGTCTGATTTGAGCCACTGGGTTGATTCATCTTTTGGAAGTAGTTTATTTTAAGACTGACCCATGAGGCAGTGACCTCGACTGATCTCTGGTGTTCACATTGTCAGTCAGCTAAACACACTTATGATATAATAATAATAATAATAATGATAATAGGAGTCAGTTACCTGACTGTGATGTACCTGTCTTCCAGTCGCTGTGAGGACTGCAGCACCCCGGTCCATGCAGGCGTGTTCTCCTGTAACCCTTTAGTGGTGAGCAGCCTGCTGGATGCCGGAGGAGACTTGAGACTTCATGATCAAGAGGGCAGGAGTCCTTTTGACTGGCTCAGGTCTGCCCCACAGGACGGCAGGACCAGGGTAACTCAACACTGTAAACATGTATTTAAAAGTAGAAAAGTATATTCAACACTTGCAGGAAACTGATATTAAATAGATATAAAACATGATGAAAGATGCAGAACTTAAAACAGATGATTTCAATAGTTCAGACTGTTTTGTCTCTTCAGATGGAGGACTTTCTGCAGGGCTGCATGTCCTCTATGCAGCAGCTGTTTCAGAGTCCAGGCATGATGAATATCTGCTTTAGCGCTCCCTACAGGTCAACCTCCAGCCTGTTACAGCCCGTGTCTCTACTGGATCGTATTAAATCACGGTATTTATGACTTTCATCTACACAACATGATAATGTTTCATTTTCTTTTGATTATTCAAATAGTTTTTTTTTTTTATTAATCATAAATGTCTCAGAATTGTCTTTTTAGGAACTTTATGTTCACTATCAAGGACCACACCACAACAAGATGCATTGAAGTATTTAATTAAAATATAGGATCCATATATGTTGAAACAGATTTAATGTATTTGAAGATGGGGTTGGGGGAGTTTGGATGGAAGAATGATGTTGTTGTTGTTGTTGTTGTTGTTGGACTGGTCTGGAGAATGAACTGAAGATTGAGAAGAGCCCTCAGTATGGGGGCCTCGTCTCAGGCGTAATTCTACCTGATGAGTTACAGCCCCCCGTAAGAGTCAGATTTAAATGGATCTGAGTTGTTTAATGGCTCGGCGCAAATCATTAAGATTGGTCCGGATGTAGTAGTGATATGCTTCAGATGACCAGCGTCCAAGAACCTCGATGGTTTGGTCTGTAATGCCTAGTCTAGCTGCAGAGGATGCAGTGGACTGAATGGGCTGAATAGTATTCTACCGGAAATGCGGAGGACCTTATATACTGTTTCATGAACCAAAATCTAATTGCCGCTTTTCCTGTTTCAGTTAGTATGAGTGGGTGTCGAGGTCATGCCTGAGCAGCATACCTGCTGTCATGAATGTTGTCAGTGGTTTGTGTGGACAATGATAAGAGTCAAGTCGTAAATTGTAGTTTGGGAAAAGCGGGATGGATTAAAGACAGATGAAGTTGGGGCGAATCCAGAGGAAACCAAAGAAAGCTAGAAGGAACATGGACTCTAGGTTAGATTCAGTCAACAAGGGATAAGTAGCTTGAACCATCAGAGACTGAAAAGTCAAAAGTTAGTGGCAGGTGTTTTAAACGTGACTGAAGGTTCCTGGTTTCTAAAGCCATTGATTAACATTGTTAATTGGGAATGGGAGACGGAAATGCAATGAAGGATAGTGACGAGTTTGACAGAAACGTTTTTTTTCCAGGTAAGTAGGTCTAAATGGAGGGGAACAAGATTTTGTGAATAAAGTATAAATTGGGGGATGAAATACAGATGACACAACATCGAGGTGGTACCTGGCATGATACGCCTTGAAGGAGATTGAGCCAGTTAGGTGAACAGAAACTCTACAAGTGGCTCTGCTGTGACTCTTGGCTGTGGACTGACTGCTATTCAGTGGGTAGAGGATAACTGGTTTGGAAAAACTCTTTAAATAGGTCTTTATTTAGCAAGCTCTGATGCATCGGTCTAATATCGGTATCGGTTGTGTGTGTTTTCTGTAGTGACTTGCTGTTCAACAAGAAGACAAACTGCAGGTGTTCCTCTACAGCAGCTCTCTGTTTGGGCTTTGGAAAGGTATATATACAGACTGTACACTGTGTGTGTGTGTGTGTGTGTGTGTGTGTGTGTGTGTGTGTGTGTGTGTGTGTGTGTGTGTGTGTGTGTGTGTGTGTGTGTGTGTGTCAGTATGGGACAGCAGTGATTTCCTGACGGATGTTATGATGGTGGTCATCTCTGGAGCTCCTGTCTGGGTCACAGTCAGTATGTTGGTACATTAACATACTTTAATCGGACTACTGCTTTTGTAACAGTACACAAGCACCAGAGAAGAATCGATTTATTAACGGTGGTAGGTTCACTTATTACAGGAGGTTGCAATATGCCCCTTTGAGCTGTTCTTTCTGTAAACAACGTTAAACACTCTTATTAATGTTGGATATCATATGAGCATGCTTTAAGGGTTTGTTGGATAATTACTCTGCATAAAACTCCTCTACAATGCTGCTGTCAATGTTTAGCTTGTTACTTCATTGTTTTACCAGCAGAGGTCAGCAGATACACAGCATTAGTTATCATTTATTCAGGGATGTAATTGTGTTTAATACTTCTGTTTCTTTTTAACTCTGTATGGGTTCCACCACCGCAATAGACATTTTATGTGTTAGCATCTGAAATGAAAATAGTAGTTTTATATATAAATAGAGGTGTGGTTTAAATGTCTGAGGTCTGCTTAGTGGCTACATAATCACCAGCTGGTGTTTAACTGTGTGTGTCTGCTGTGAGGCAGAAATATCACTTAAACAGGCTGATACCAGCTGTGAGCCTGGACAAACATTACATTATTAAAACACACTAGGATGATCTGACTGATACAGCTGACTGTTAATGGGAACACTGTTTCCACAGCAATGACAATAGAAATTCAAGTTTAGGCTATATTTAAAAAAAAACATGTTCGTTCGATGTTTGAGTTGTTTTTCTGTGTGTGTAACTCAAAGATCACATTCAGCTGTGTCTCTGTTTTCACACCTGACTGCTCTTCTTCTACTGGTGCTTTTCTACAGCTGTGTATGAACCACACCTGTCAGGGTTTAACTGTTCCAGCATCAGTTCCTCTGATCAGAGTGACTGATCTCACCCACACTCATGGTCAACCTCTGCTGTCCCTCAGCTGTGGACCTTTGACCACCATGACCAGGTAACGCCAGCAATTTACCACACAGAACCACTACCGCAAAAAAACAAAATCAGAAACAGAACCATAACTAAGACAACAACCACAATGGGACAAATGACCACGACTGTAAAAAAAAACAAAAAAAAACACCACAACCAAAAAAAGAACACACAACACAATAACCATCAGAAATACAACCAGAGACAGAAACAGGTCCTTAACCACAAACACATTTGCAACAACAACAAAAAAACAACCACAACCAGTTTAACGATCACAACCAGAAGGAGAACACCATGAACAACCAGAACCACAATTAAAACCAAAATACAACCACAATAACAACCACAGACAGAAAAATAAACACAAGTATAAGAGGGGGACAAAAGAACAGCTACAATCAGAACCATACCAGAAAAGCAGCTACAATGGCTGTGGCTCAGTGGCATAGAAGGTCGTCATAAAATCATACTGATATGACATCCAACCAGAAGGTAATGTAGTTGATCCACAGCTCCTAAAGGGAGATGTTGAAGTGTGCTTGGGCAAGACACAGAACCCCAAGTTATTCAATACATGGGTGAATGTGATATGTATGTAGTATTTAAGTGCTTTAATTAGTCATAAGACTAGAAAAGGGCGATACAAGTTAGTTCAGGTGCATTTACCAGCAACAACAAAATACTAGAAAACAAAATATACATAACCACACTCTGTGTTAGCTGGTAGATTCTCTGTGTCTCTATACCAAAGGAAATCCTTCCTCATTGAGGAGGAATATGGACCCAACCCGGCTTAAGCCTGAGGACTCTCTCTCCTTAAAAAGCAGAAGTCGACTTCTGGCATGAGTCACTTGATGTTTGCTGATTGGTCAATCATATGAGCAACCATCAGAAATAAGACCTCTTGAATGTGTGCAGTTCTCCAAGAAACAGAAGACATGCAGGAACATTAAAAAAAGATCATCTTAAAGACCTTGAGAAGTGAATCACACTAATGGTTTTTTATTTCAGGCGCAGCTGGAGGGGGTCCAACGTGACAGTAAAGTCACTGAGAGACAGTCAGACAGAGCACCTGGACCTCTTACTGACAGAACTACAGTACTGCAGGTCAGACTGGAATCTACCTGTTCTGTTCTGCTCTATGAAACTACCTGTTTCCTTCTGTGATAAACTATATGTCCTTCTTCTGTGTAAAACTGACTGATCTTCCTCTGTATGACATTAACAATGATCAGTTCATCTTTTTTGTATAATGTTATCTCAAGACACTTGAAAAAAGAGCACGCACTGTGTTTTATGTAACTTACAAAGACCCAACATTAATCCACCGTGAGCAAAGCACTTGGCAACATTTAGAAAACGTCCTTTGAACAGGCAGGAACCTTTAGCAGATCTAGACTCATGTTGAACAGTCATCTGTGTTAGACTGTGTCAGGCTTGCAGAAAGTAAAATAGAATGACACAAACGAACAGAAGCAGCAACTATCTGTAAACATTTTCTGTTCTTCCTTAGGAAAGGTAGAGGTTTTGATTGGATGTTGCGGTGTGGAAGTGTTTACTCTAGTTGATGCTGCAGTTCATTCTTTAACCCTGGGATATCAAAACAGTTAATTCTATTAAATGACACTACAAGATGGCCTCTGGAAAAAAATGTATGCATCTTTTCTTGTGCGCGTGTATTCTGTGCGTGTGTGCGTGTGTGTGTGCGTGCGTGTGTGTGTGTTGTATACACAGCCAGCTGAACCATCCTCAGCTGCTGCAGCTGATGGCAGTGGGTGTTTCTGATGACCTCCTCAGGACCAGTCTGGTGTTTGAGCAGGTCGACGTCGGCACACTGCACGGCCTGCTGCACAACAAGGTAACACATACCTGAGAATTTGTGGACTCTCTGTAGAGTTTGCATGTCTGTTGGTCCTTTCTCTTGATTTGCAGTGTTGTCTGAACCCTTTAGACCAGCTTGTATACTTATTCAATCACTTCACTTAGCAGGTACGTTGTACAATGGAGGTTCCGCCAATCTTTGGTCCATTTTTGTTTTGAATGGTGTCAACAGTGACGTGAACCCGTCATATTCTCTCATTGAACAATTTGTTTTGGGCCCTCTGCTTGGTTGTAAAAGAGGTTTTATAGCAAGTGTGTCAGACAACTAAAACAATTAATTTAAATTTCTAAGGCTATTTGATTCATGCATGTATCAATAATGTTTTTTTTACATATATATTTGTGTGTTATCAAACTCTCACTTGTGTTGTTTGTCTCCTTTTCTCTGCAGCGAGCAGAGTTCCCAGTCCTGCAGGAAGGGTGGATCCTCTCTGTGATGCTGCAGGTCTGTGAGGGTCTTCATTTCCTCCACAGGGGGGCACTGGTGATGAGGGCCCTCTCTTCACATAGCGTGATCCTCACAAAGCTCACAGTCGCTAAACTAAGCTGTTTAGGCTTCATTGTCTCCAGGTAGGTGGATTCAGGTCTACACCAGACCCAGAACGTCCTCTAAGGAAGCGGGGCAAATTAGTGTGCAGGCTGTAACTGCTTTAACTGCTTTAAATGTTTACTTTAACGTTCCCAATTCAGCTTCTAGATTGGTGCAAGATATTAACGTTTAGCTTTGAGTTTCCCACTGTTCTGTTAAAAAAAGTCATTTTCCCTTTAAGTACACACGATGTGTATCATTGTGTGTTCTGATATTTTGATCATTGTGGCTAAACAAAAGGTCTGAAAGACTTTCCTTTCATAAAAGTGATTCTGTTTCTTTACTATCTGTCTCTTAATACAGAAACTTTGATGGCATGATTTGTTTGTGGTGACACAGCCTGGAACACTTCTGCAAGGTGGTGCAAAGAAAGAATTACTGATTTATTCATAGATTTATCAGCTGAGTCCGTTTTTAGTAAATAATTAAAGCATGTGCCACAGAGGCTACACAATGCAGCAGCTCTCATGCTCTTTGCTGCATGCCATCTCCTCTTTCCTTCCAATACTCTCTCTCTCTCTCTCTTTGTTGAAAATGGCCAAATAACGATCTTAAAATGAGAAATAATCGGTATTTACATTTCGAATGGTTTGTACTGAAATTTAAAAAAAACTTGATGTCAAGCCAATTTGAAGATGTGATTTAACCCTGGGCAGCTCTAAAAAAAGATTTTAATTTCCTCCTAACAAGTAGTCAAGTATGCCTTCAAAATGATTACCAAAGACTTGAGTGTAGTAGAAAAACTCTGAAGTCAGCTGGTGATGATATGATGGTCGAACAGTTATGATGGTAACTCTTTGCCTACTGCGATTAAACAACAAATGCAGAAGAATAAGTAGACGCAGCAAAACCTTAAAAAAAAAATTACATTCTATGAATAAAACACAAGAAGCAGAGTAATAAAGCAAGATGACACAGCAGAGCTAAAAGACCTGTCCACTTCTTCTTGACAAATCACTGCACCTTTTCCCCTCTGTTTTTAAAAAAGCCTCTCCATGTGAAGGCAGAGAGGGTGCCACTTATAGCTATCTCATAGTGACAACATACTTCTTCAACTGGGAGTGATCATTAGTCTCGTTTCCACCAAGCGGTCCAGTTTGAACCTTTAAGACGAGCATATTAACCTGCCAGACTCGCATGTTAATTATAAATATGATAAGGCACATATATTATTTTTTGACATGTATTTTTTATATTTTCAAATCAGGAGACGTATTAAATTCTGTGTTGCATCATTTTGTTTGTGTTTACTGTTTAATACACAACAGGTTGTACCAACTATCACAGGAAGTTCTAAATAACACAAAATGGAACAAACTGTAACTTGCACCACTGTCTTTACGAAAAAAGAAACCTTGAAATATGAACCAAACCGTGACCGTACCATTACACCCCTAATGACAAGTATATTAATGTGAGTGCTAAATGAACCAAACAGACAGATGAGTAACCTGCTGATATAGATACAGTCACTCATTAACAGAGGCTCTGCCTAGAGAAAAAAAACTGTACTATTCATGGAAACATGTTATTAATACATACAACAGATACAATTCAATATCTAGTATTATTTATAATGATATTTTATGAATCTTCTTTCCTGGTTAATTCTCTGTTTCATCACAATTTTTGTTATTATAATATTCTGTGTCCAGCAGTGAGACTTCATGTGTTAAACCCCCCCACTACATGGAGCTTCCCCCCAGCCTGCACAGGTGGGCTGCTCCTGAAGTCATCAAACAGAGAGCCTGCAGGGAAGAGGCTGACATCTACAGTGTGTGTGCTCTGATCCTGGAGCTGTATACAGGTAGCTCTCACCCTGCATGTTTTTAGAATTGATTTAATGAGACAACACTCAACTTCATAGTGCCGATCTCATTCTTGGCTCATAGTGTGTGTGTGTGTGTGTGTGTGTGTGTGTGTGTGTGTGTGTGTGTGTGTGTGTGTGTGTGTGTGTGTGTGTGTGTGTGTGTGTGTGTGTGTGTGTGAGTGAATATAAGCCGTAATTGTAGTTGTAATCTGCTTTAGGAGTATTGTCATATAATCATCATTTCTGTTCATCCTTTATCAGCTGTGACTGTGGCTCAGTTGGTAGAGTGTGTTATTTCTCAACCAGAAGGTTGGGGGTTCAATCCCAAGCTCCTGCAGCAACTTGTCCTTCAGCTAGACACTCAACCACAGTTGCTCCTGCTGCTTCATCAGTGGTGTATGAATGGGATAAGTTACTTCTTATGGTCCCTTTACATAGCAGCCTCCGCCATCAGTGTGTGAATGGGGGTGAATGGGTTGATGTGACATAAAGTGTAAAAGCGCTTTGAGTAGTCAGAGACTAGAAAAATCTACAAGCTCAAGTCCATTTACCATTTACATTAAAATAATAATGATCTCTATTTATAGATTGTAGAATGTAGAATGTGTTAACTCAGGACCTGACTTTGGTATATATATATATATATAAGTGTTCTGGTTTGCATTTGACGTCTCATTAGTATTGACCAATCACATATCAGGAGGCTTTGGCTTTTGCATGGAAAAACAGTCCCTAAATGAAGCAAAAGCAAACAAAACACAATCCACTGTAATGACATTCCAGCACCCATCATCTATAATCCAAAATCATTTTATTTATCTCTATAAACAGATATCTTCATGTAAGTGCTGTTTATAGATCAAACATTTACCCTTAAGGTGAAAAATCTGCTACCGTAAATGCTGTGGTGTGACCCCAATGTTTTGATTAAATACAATAGCCAGTGTTTAGATTTCTTGACTTCATTGAATGCATTTAAAACTGTTTTATTGACCAGGTATGTTAGAATCCAATGGGTTGTTCACTATTTTAGATGATGAACCATGGGGCACATTGGACCCGCTCAAAATCAAACAGGCGATGGATTCAGGACAGGCCCTGTCAGTAAACAACGTTCCACTGCCGTACTATGAGCTGGTGTCCACAGGCCTGCAGCTGGAGCCTCAGAACCGGACCTGCAGCCTGCAGACTCTGACAAACACACTGCAACAGGACATCAAGGTTAGGTCATAGAAGAAGAAGAAGATATACTTTAATAATACCACAAGGGTAAATTCAATTTTCACACTCTGTTGTTGAACATGCTCAGGAGTCAGGAAGAATTAAGCTGAAGAGAGGAAAGAAGGGTTACGGCAACTGGTCTAGCCCACCACCAATCATTCGGATATTTTTCATCCAACCAGATTTGTTTGGACCTCAGACAGTTCAAAATGCAGCAGAACAAAACAAAGCACTCATGTTGAAAAAGTGCTTCATAGACTTTTTAAAACAATATTTTGTCCAGGTGCACATTGACGACCCATAAAAATGGTTCTGCGACCCACTTTTCAATCAATCAATCAATCAATCAGTCAATCTTTATTTGTGTAGCATCAACTCATAACAAGTGTTGTCGAGACACTTTACAAAAAGCAGGTAAAAGACCTTACTTATTGCTTTTGGGCCCCACCAGTTGAGAAACAGTGTGCTAGAGAATATAACCGGTCTTGCTGTCTTCCTGCTTGAATTTACGCTGAGCTCCATATAATTTGATGTATGAGTTACGTTTAAAACCTCCAGCTAAAGAGTGTTTATCATTTTAATGAAGTGAGCCTTTACATCATACATTTGTTTTTCTCTGTCTGCAGAGGCTCTGCATGGATGAACAGCCGGGGGTTAACATCAGTGCCTCCCCAGAACCAGATCCTGAGTGTAGAGTCCAGACCAGAACACAGCAAACCACTGTGAAGGAACAAGTACATAGTGGTACTGAGCAAAAACACACAAACATATTTTGCATGTGAATTTACAACACAACCGTGCAATCACACATCTATGATTTCTAAATGTGTTTAAGTGTGTTTGTGTTTTCTGAAAATATAATTCAATGTAAATGTAATCTGTCTCCGTCAGCTGTTTGTAGAGCTTTAAGGCCAGTCACAACCCAAGCAAGCACAGAAGAGGAAAGTGATGAAGTACCTCTTAACAAACAGCTGGACAGAAGACCACAGTCCGAGTCAGACAGAGAGGGAGATACATGTTCAGAAGGAGAACCAATGCTCCCTCACCCTCACACACTCACCCTTCCTCTGCTTAGTGAGTCTGACTCGAGCAGTGATGATGAAGAACCTGACTCAGTAACAGACGATGAAGAACCTGATGCAGACATGGAGACGGTGGAGCAGCTGGTTGGCCTGATGCAGCCCAGAATAAATCAGCAGATCAGTACAATATCAGTGAACCTAAAAGTGTCGAGGGAGCTGCTGCAGGAGGCACACAGGAGTCTGGACATAGTGGAGAACCACTGCCAGCTGGTCCACAGAAATGCTCCTCCCTGTATCCGTGACAACACATCCTCCTCCTCCTCCTCCTCCTCCTTCTTATCTATGTCCTCAGAAGATCCTTGTGGGGTCACAGCTGCTGTTGGACCTCCTTCAGAGTGGTACACTTTCTCCCCTTATGGGAGAGATGACTGGACAGAGAACCTGGTGTTCCAGCTTCTGAGCAGAGACTTTAAGCTTCTGAGTGAGGAAGAGCTGTCTTTATGGCTGGGTCATTATCCAGCTGATCAGATGCAGTGTGAGCAGAGATGGTCTCTGCCAGGTCTCTCTACAGGAGAAGCTGATCAGTGCTCGGAGCAGCTGAGTCAGTATGTTTCTGCTCTGGATGACAGCGACCTCAACATCATGTCTGACAGGAAGCAGCAGGTACACTGTGACAGGCCACATAAGTTACTTGTGTAAAATGTAATTACAAAACAAAATTAGATGGTTTGCAAAACACCGAAAACTGCATATTTGAATTGAAAAAAGCCCAAAGACAACATATGAAATATTAAAACATAGAAATTTCATTTTTCTTTGAAACTCATACGCCCATTTTTTACATGATGCCAGTAAAAGATTTCAAAAAAGTTTGGACACGGTCATGTTTACCACTCTGTTGCGCCACTTTTGTCTTTTAACAATGCTGTGTTAGCCTTTTGGGAAATGAGGAGACCAGTTTCTGTCATTTTGAAAGTGGAATCTTTTACCTCTCTTGCTTCCCCACGTACAGAGGCTATATGAAACAACCTCAGCCCTTTGCTGAAAGTCATCCCCACGCTCTCTCCTCCTCTCCTCTCAAAGTGTCCTGTCTCTCCCCGACTGTCCCGTCTAATAAAGGTGAACATGGCCCAAAAGTAAAATGTAAAAAGAAACAAGAAGTGGCGTATTGTATTTCAACCCTCCGTCATGTTCCTTGACGGAGGGAAACGAGGTTCAACTCTTGTTAGCTCCTCACCGTCCACGCTTGGCCTTGACAGTCATTCTGATAATGGTTCTACTGGTTGATCTCATGAGGACACAATCCTCATACCCAAGTGTTGTACCTCGTTTCCCACCCACAGGCAACATTTCTTAAATGCATATCAACATTCAGATAGTGTATGTCTCGTCCAGACTTCCAGGTCAGAAGAAGATGCAGATGTAACAGTGGAGATGTGCAGACCAGCATCTACAGGGAATCTGCTGGTGGATACTCAGAACACTAGTAAGACATTACCTGCTAAAACCTGCCAATATGGAGCAGGGCAGTGTTTGCAGAATGGTGTGAAGTTTTAACACAGTTTCACTGTTTTCCTCCTCAGAGTACGAGAGTGTCCCTAAACACTGTGAAGAAACTGTCACTGATGCTGCTGCCGGTCAAACACAACATACATCTAACACCAACATGTAAGGACCCTGAACTGAACATGTGTGCTTTATAATTCATTCAGACACCTCAGAGTGAGCTTTGTGTTTATGGATGTAAGACCTTTACTTTGTATGAAAACATAGAGACTGTTCTGTATGAATGCAGACTGGTTGGACTGACAGTGTGATCAGTTTGTTCAGCCATTAACATATTTATTCATTCAGCAGTGATTCATTATAAACCTAATGGTAACACAGGAAGCATGTCTTCCCCACTGACCTTCACTTGTTAGTACCATGTAACAACAACATCGGAAGATTTCAAGAAAGTTTAGACTGTATTAACGCTGACAATAGTTAGATGGATGTATAAAGGAAAAGGGGGCGGATTATTGCCCCCATAAGTATCAGAAAAAGAGCTGATTTGGGTTACACGAGTGGTCTTTTTGACTGTTCCAGTGAAGAGTGGTTAATGTGATTTCTGGAGCTGATTTATTGGATCAGCAGCTTGTATGAGTCGTTTCTTGGCTAAAAATGTTGATTAGGAAAGAGATTATGCTTACTGTATGTGTTGTACACTGTCGTGGTCTGATGTAGAACTAAAATAGATCATATCCTAAGTTAATATGATCACCAAGATAATTCTGTGAGTTAATGGCTTTTTCCAGTATGTGTTAGCATCAAGCCAACAAACTACATACCAGTCCGTCTGTGAGAAATTGTACCCGTCCATAGACAGGAACTTTAAATGAAAGAATGTTTCAGAGAAACCATCAGATCAGTTACTGAGGTTAAAAAAGTGTTTCTGCCATGCCATCAAAGCTGATCCTTGTGTTTGTGTGTCTGCCAGGACATGTTCTGATGTGGCTCTGTTAGCTGAAATGTCCAGCATCACATGTTCTCCGGCTCAGCTTCAACAGAAACTCTGTAGTCCCCCTGTGAACACACGAGCCCTGCCCTGTTACAGTACCCCTTACAGTCCAGGTAACACAAACTCACACATGCAGGCACCCAAACACGCACACACAAACACACACGCACATACACACACTGACCGCTCTGTGTGTGCTTTTTCACTTTTTAAAAACATAATACTCAGGATGAAGAAGATTATTTATAGTAGTTAATTATCCAACAGATGATACTGTGTGTCCTCACAGTTAGGGTTTAAAAGAGTCATGCTCTCAACAGTGGAAACGATTGTCACTTTGACTCAGTCTCAACCTGCAGTTATTTCATGTTTGGTCCGTCACATGCATTTATATTTAAAAACACGTTTTTGCAAACAAATTTTGCTCACATGAAAACAATCAGTGTTTCTCCTGAAGACATTTATCTGTTAGATGAGTTTCAGTGAACCCTCTACTCAGGGGTTTGTTATTAAGATTTCAGTTCCACATAAGGTATTTTATTCTTTTGACAGACACTCATCGGCGCGTAAAGATTATGGAAGCCGATCTCCCACAATCCCCTGCATGCAGCGCCCTTCATTCTGCCAACCTGAAGAGTTTCAACACAGCAAGAGAAGACTCAATACAGGTTTCCATCATTTCGTTCATCACAGTTACTCTAATCTGCGCACCAGTTATTCTCATCGTCACAGGTTTGAAGATTAGAAATACTGTAGACGGTGAAACAGCCCAAAAGATTTACCTTTGAAGAGACAGGCTACAAATTCTGAAAAATTCAAAAGCAATTATCAAGACAACAAAAGCAACAGAAAGACAAAGAGTGTAACAACAAGGAGTGACTGTAAAGCAGCAATAAGAAAAACACAACAGCTCTGACAGAGTCACATGGCCTTTTTAGCTCATCAGCCGTAACACAGGTGATGTCATCTGGAGAGGCTGAGGTAACTCATACTGTGGATATTTGCTGCGGTTTGGGGAAAATATCAGAGTCTTTTGGGCTTGGAAAACAGAAACTGACAGGGATATCTGCGACCATAGATTCCTTCTGTACTTCACTATAAACTGAATGGCTGCTGCCTTCTGTTTACCACAAATGCCATATTAGCAATGCTAGCTTAACTGCAAAGTTGCTTTTTATTTCCCAAAGCTTAAAAAATATTCAGTTGTTTGCGTTATCTCATGTGCTACTGAAATTCTTCCCAACACAAACTTCAGCATAGATCACTTCACAGTTCAGCTCCAGACGTGTTTTGATGTAATAACCCTTGATTGTTACACCGACTATTTATGTGACACCAAATATTTACCGTCAAATGATTTGTGATGTCAGTAAGAGGTACAGCCAAGACTGCAACTCAAGAAGAGAATAGAGGGAAAGGGAAAAAGAATCAACCACACTGAAGAAATGTAACTGGTAATAAAGTGTACACATAGGATTACAGCTAGCAGCGCCTCTGGATCTGGAGCTTTCCTTGTTTCCTGAGTTTTTCTTTTGCATTTTCTGGGAATGTGGGTGTCTCACTTTGTATCTTTTATGTTTGCTGTTCATGTTAAATTATTATTATTTATTTATTTGCAGCATTTTTTTTATTGTACCACATGTCTATCAGTGTTTTATTTTGACTTTGTTTGAATTTTCATCATTTCTAAATTGACAGCATGTTCCTTCTCTTGAAAATCTTTTGAACATTTCCTGCTCTTAAAGCTGACTCTCTCTCCTGTGAACTCTCAGGGCTTCAACAGTTTCCAGCCTCCGCCTTTCAGTATGCACTCTCCCTGCAGCTCCCAGACCTTCATCACTGCCTGCCTGCAGAGCGATACCACATCTCACACCTCCATCGCCCACAGCACTGAGGAAGAGGAGTACAGAAGTGAGGAAGAGGAGGAGGAGGAGGGAGAGAGAGCAGGGGTCGCTGAGGCAGAGCAGAGGGAAGAGGATGGAACCAGCCTTAGTCGACCTCTGGTACATTTGGAGGATGAAGAGCAAGCTTATGAAGAAGAGGAGAAATCATCACAGACTGCAAAAGAAAGCAGGGACGAAGAGGAAAACATGGCAGAGCAGAGTGAGGAAGAAGAGCGTGTTGAAGAAGGATGTGATGAAGAGGAGTGTGTTAAAGAAGGAAGTGATGAAGAACATTGTGTTGTAGAACGATGTGATGGAGAGGAGTGTGTTGATGAGTACACTGGTGAAAAAGAGCGTGATGAAGAGTACAGTGATGAAGATGAGCGTGTTGTAGGGGGCAGTGATGAAGAGGAGTCGGTTGCAGGCAGCAGTGATGAAGATGAGCGTGTTGAAGAGGAGTGGGTTGAAAAGGGCAGTGATGAAGATGAGGCCGGCTCTGTCACCCACAGAGAGGTGAGAACACAGCAGATTCACACACTGATGGTGGGGTCTGATCCATTAAGTGGCCACGTACAGGAGCTGGGGATCGAACCCCCATCCTCAGCTGAAGAGATGACTGATGACCCCAAACACTTTTAACATGCTTATCCATAACAATACACTAAATACACTCCCTACATCCATGTTATGGACAGACATGTTACTAATGTGTTACAGACAGAACATGCAGCAGACACACAGATCTGATCTAAAAATATTCAATTCAATTCAATTTTATTTGTATAGCGTCAACTCATAACAAGTGTTATCTCAAGACACTTCACAAAAAGCAGGTAAAAGACCTTACTTATTGCTATGTTATTGCTAAGATCTGGCCTATCCATCATGAACACTTTAGCAAAGCAGCAAAAGTTACAGTGGTAAAAAATTGCCTTATTAAAAAGAAATCTCATGACGAAACAGCCTTCACAGGCCTAGACTGCGCCGGGGTTGGAAAGGGATAGGGGGAGAGATGGGATAAGACGCAGGAAGAGGGATAGGGAGCAAGGAGGTTGGGGGAGGCAGGGGGAGGCAAACCGTCCATCAACAATCTGTTGGGGGGGGGGGGGGGGGTTGTTCTGGCAGGCCGTCAACCAACGATCTTGAGGAGACTAAGAGAGCTCAAGAGCTCCCAGGAAAGTAGGTGGTTAGTGACTGAAATTTACAGATAGATACATGCAGTAATATGATGTACTGTATATGCAGAGAGAGAGAGAGAGAGAGAGAGAGAGGCGCTCAAGGCTCAAAATATGAAATGTATTCTACTGTAAAAATAAATGCTGACCATAAAAAGCATGTCTATTATAACATGAATCATTTACCTACAAAATGAACTTTATCTGAAAAACAATATTGGTGAATATTGAATGTGATATTTTATATTTCAAATATACATCTTTGTTATAGTTTGATTTTAGAACACTATCAACACAGATGTCAGATGAACGGTTTGATATCAGGAGATCTCATAAGAATCATGTGTGAAGGGGAAGTGTGAAAGCACATGAATAACACAGTTATCATTTTTTTAAACTTTGGCTGTGTTCTGCAGAGGTGAGTTCAGGAGCGGAGGAGGAAGGGTCTGAGGACGAGGCTGATGACAGGAGGAAGGTGACATCAGGATTATTTGATCAAGAAACAGCAGGTAACAGATTCAGCCAGTGAACGGTGTAGTGAATCGGGCTGTGTTTGTAAACACTATTCTTCTTTTTCTTCTTCTACGAATAAGAATAATCATGATTATTACTGTTGGTTCATCAGGTGGAACAGGCTTACTGCCTGGGTCACAGAAGAAGAAGGAACATCTGATGGAGTCACAGCAGAGTCTACTTGAAGACACCACCAGGTGAGTGCAGCTACACCTCTGCTACACACATCTCAGCCCACACTCTCCTGCCCCAGGAACAGAAATCAAACAAGGGGTCTGGTCGCTGTCCTTTTTGGTTAGGAAGGTTCCTGACTGAGTGAACTGACTCGGAAGTATTTAACTTCAGCCATGATTAGAGTCTAAATTCTCCATCTTCTGGGAACTTTTTAGTACTTTTGGCCGGACCCTAGGTTTGAGCTTGTTGTCTGTTGTCCTTTTACACCATTAAGGCTTACTGCAGTCTGTCGGTTAGGGGCGGTGATGTCACTTCCTGTTTGTTCTGTTTTTCAGAGCTCACTCTACCCTGGACGACGTCCTGCAGGAGTTTGAATGTGAGGAGGAAAGAGAGAGTCCAGGAGCCCGAAGAGACGGCAAAATCCTGTGAGGGAGCACATCACACTAATACTAGTGTGTGTGTGTGTGTGTTTGTATCAGACCAGTCTAACAGAGTGTGTGTAATGTGCAGGTGTGCACTGTTTGAGGGACAGACTGGTGACCATGAAGAACACTCAGCAGGACAGAGACACAGTCAACAGCAGTAATGGTAAATGGCTTTTTTGGTCCTCTGACTAATCAAAGCACTTTTCACTCCACAATATGTTCCCATCAAAGAACTATTTTATTCACACATGTTCAAACCCTGCTTGGAGTAATATGGCCATCAGTGACTTGCCAACAGACACTTCAATTTAACTGCAGGGGCTTGGGAATCGAACCCCTCTCCCTCTCCCTGCTGATTATTAAACACTGACGTGACTGAACTGGTAAAAATCTGGTACTTTCACATGCTCAAGCTTATAGCTAAATTAAACCTTTTAATTGGACTACTGTCCTTGTCTCTCACCTGGTTATATGCCAAAAGTTGTAAACATACGACTACTTTAAACAGCTCTGTACATTTTACACACACTTAATGCTTTACTGTTGGTACAAATCTGATGAACGCTATATAATGCAATTTGACATTTAATAAACATTTTAATAATGTGAGGTTTCCCATGAACATTAATGTGCTTATTTAAAGAATCGTTTTTATTCTGAGGATATTAATCTAAAATGTTCTTCCTCTCTGTGTTTCTGTTTACACAGGAGGAGTGTCGGGGCAGGACGGACACTAAATGTTCTCTAAATGTTTAATTTGTTAAAGTTCCATTAATATTCTGTTCGTTGTAAATGTTTGCACCTTGTTGGAGAAAACCAACAAGGTTTTGAAAAAATGTTTGAAATTCTAATCAACACAGATCATTTGAAGTCCTGTTTAGTTTCCAACCCTTCAAATGTTTGAGCTGAAAGTCTTCATGAAATGAGGACAAACACAACACTGTGAAAAAAGGTTTTATTACACAATGTTCTGTTTGACAATGTTTCAATAAAAGTAGAGCAAAAGTCAAAAGAAGCTCTTTTTTTTTTTCTCTGACCTGACCTCTCTTTAGAAGAACACTGATCACAGATGTTTAACATGATTATCATACATTTCCAACATCACAAACACCTCAGTCTACAGAACACTACACACCTGTAGAAGTGAAGGTGAGAGGAGATCATGAACCCTCTTCTGGGGGCGTGTACTACGAGGCGAGTTCAACATAACCAGGCTAACTTTTCCTGGTCTTGCTTGCTTCAGAGATCACACGAAGCTGGTTATCAACTCGATGAGTCAACCCAGAGTGTCTATGACTGCTTCACATGAAAGGGGCGGTGCAAGTAGCATACGACCAACTGTACACATGCACAAGTCTGCATGCACAAGTCTGCCGCCAGCAGATCGCCTTCACTCACAAACTCTGAGCAAACTGATAATCAAACAATATGAAATTAAACATTTAGGCTACTACAGACTAAAATCAAAACAGCCACATTTACAAATTGAAGGAGGAAATGGCAGAAAAAGAAAAGCTCAAGTTTATTCCCCTTGATTGTATTCACTGCTCAGTATTCTTGTGGCATCTAGGACTGTTTTAAACGTTATAATTCAGCTGCAGCCCCAACGTTAACAGAGTGGTATGGAGTTAATAAACATTTATATTAAAATATATAATTCAAAGCAACCAGTCCTCATATTTTAAATGTTATAAACACATCTCCAAGGCTCCTGAGCTTTTTCAGCCTCCGCTAAAGGATGATAAAAGTAAAGCAAAATGAGTGACTTTCATTCATATATTTCATGTCCAATCAGATGGAAGCGTTTTGTCGGTCCCTCTCGCTCCTCCCTATCATGATCTGCTTACAGAGCTCCACGATCGAGAGATCTGATTGGTCAGTGGGCGGAGGTTGATACAAGTTGATCTCTCATCCTAACACCTAACCTGCTTACCATGGGGATCTAACCCGGTAGGACGTGAACCACCTTCTGAATACCCAGAGTTCACTCTGAAGTGACCTCAATAACTGAAAATCCTGCTTTGTCTTTTACTCTTCTCATCATCACAGAAACACAAACTGCTCACTGTCGCCCCCTTCAGACTGCATGCAACCCCAACCATAAACAACAACCGTTTTCTAAATACTTTATTAATCTGTCATACATCTTAGTCTGTGGATCATTTGAACCTTTTCAAAATAAAAGCTCTCGTAATTTCGTATTTCAAACATTTCTCTTGAAACCTTTAATTATATTTATAAATGAATACATTGAAACAAGAAAACTGAACATGTTTCTGAGCGTGAGGAAGAGGAGTAGAAGATCACGGAGGGGGAGGAGCATGCAGGTGAGAGTCAGACACTGATTTGTTTGTTTCTGCGAAGTGTGTGGATCTAAAGTGAGAAAGTGAAGGAGTGACTGAAAACATAATAGCATGACTGCTGAATCAACAAACACATGGACTGACCCCCCCCCCCCCCCTGCAGATTTCAGCTGCCCCCTTACTCAGCTACACCATGGAGAGGTTTAGCACAACAGAGCCTTCATCTTCATCGTCTGCACACCGATTGAGCTGCTGCACACAGAACAGAAATATTATTATAATAACGTGATAAACAGTGTTTTAACCACATGACGCAGAACACTCACTGTCCTGAACGTATGTAACATCTTTAACAGCTCAAAAACTTGCATGATCTTCTACACTAAACTGATTTATTTTCATCTGCTGGATTACGAAATGTACTGATTCAAATGTTGTCTGCTGAGTAAAACACTTTATTTAATAACAAATAATGGTGAAAAGAATCACGGCTGATCCATGAGCTACTCCCTACTATTCCCATGGTTCAGGCTGCATGTGATATGGAGATAGATGAAATAAAAGTACTGCAGCCAAATCCCTGTGAGGTCCCTCAGTTAAAATAAGGCGTCTTTTAAGCAGTGTGTGTAGGCGCTGTGGAGATCAGATGTACAAATATGAATACAATCCAGTTTAAAAAAAACAAACATTTTTACACAAGTTGGTTGTAACGTGTTGATATTTCATTGTGTATTGACTTTTCTCACTCTTGCCATGTTTGCATTTATCATGCAGGTTTCAGCTGCTGCTTCTGTGTGAAAACACTTGTTAACTTAACGTAGGTAACGTCATCCTGTAGCCTCAGTCCCTGAACACAAGCTGCCATGTGCTGCAGGAGCACACACACACGCACAATGAACAGTGTCTGATGTTGCATATTCAGCAGTGTCAAAGGCTAACTCGTTTTGTAAATGACAGCAAACTTTTTGTTCACAGAAGGATTTCCGTTGTGTTTTTAAAGAGGGTAGCAATTACTGTTGCAACTTTTTATATCACGTACAGTCTGTTTTTAACTTTCAACATAAAATAATGGTTTAACACAAAATACATTGCTTCCCATGGTCCCTAAATCCCTTAATATTAGAGGTCTGCCATCTGTCAGGTAAAACACATTCAGGTTAAAAAAACTGTTTAAAACCTTTAAAAAGTGAAATGTTTGTCATGAAATAAAGCTGTCTGCTGCTCAGAGTCTGATGTCTGATGGTCTGTCTGCTGATCTCTCTGATGTCTGCTGGTCTATCAAACACATTCAGATCACCGTGGAGGATTTAGAGGGATCAGACTCACATTGTGGCTCCTGTTCAGATGCAGAAGAAGAAATCTGAAAGAAAACATTTTAAAGTTATGTATCAAACGTTATTCTCACAGTGTGAACACTGATCATAATTACTGACTGCAGGCGGCTTGTGACTTCTTTAACAAACACAAATTCCCATAAGTCCCACATGTCTAACATCGGGAGCTTGACAGCGAGCATCTGGTGGCCAGATTGGACCCGGTGGTGAGTAAGATGGTTTGCAGCCATAAGAGAAGCTGTTGGGATGGTGAATTGCTCCCTCGGGTTGGGGAGTAAGCCTCTGCCTCAAGTGAAGGAGTTTAAGTATCTCAGGGTCTTTTTTAAGGGTATAATGGATCCTAAGATTGACTAACATGTCGGTGCAGCATCAGCAGTAATGCTGACGACAGGAGCTGTAAATGTGTTAATTAAACTCTCAGGGGTTTTCATTTATGACAACAAGAGCTGTATTTATATTATTTATTTCAGAGGATTTGTTTTATGATAACAGGAGATGAAGTGATCGCTGATATGTTAACTAACGACAAAACCCTGCAGGATCCTCCTGCACAAGTAAACTAACTATTGTGCGTGAGAATCTGAACATTAGACGTGTGACATCATTGAAGGGTCTCACCTGTGATTTGGTGTCTGTTAAAAAGGATCCAATCAGTTCCACTGCCTTCTTCTCCTCCTCCGTCAGCGGCTCCACCTGCAGCAGATTATAACCACACGAGAGGAGACCCACAATGTGAGCTTCATTATATCAATGAACACGACAGCACGCTGGGGAGGGAAGTACTGAAGTCCTCCAGTACTGGTGCTGTATGGTTCTGTTGATCTTCAGTGCCACAGTGGAGTAGTGCTGTATTACAGTAGTGTTAAAGTACTGAGGTGTTATATTGCAGTGTGTATAGTGTTGTGCTGGCCTTGTGTGGTTCTTTAGTACTGTAGTACAGTGTTCTTGTAGTACGTCAGGTGTGGTCGTGTACCTTCAGGTCCTGGTTGTGTTGCAGGTTCTGGATGAGCTCGCTCACAGAGTTCAGGCTTGACCTGATGTTCTTCATGGACTCGCTCTGAGCAGCAGAGATCTCCTTCAGCTGAGTGCTGAGCTCTGAGTGTTTGCTTCTGATGGTTCTCAGGTTCTCCAGCATCACAGCCGGGTTCTCCTGCAGAAACAGACAGAGAGGTTATCTTTTCAGTTACGGGTTTAAAACCTTCATTATTTGTATTTTTTTATCAGTTTGGTAAACTGCTTAAACTTCCCCTTTCATTATTTGGACTGAAGTGTTTACATGTTTGATCAGATTATAATCTGACTGTAGCTTCTGAATCATGTCAGAATGAACTCATATTTATAAAGACTTTTTCAAGAATTATGGTCACTTTTTTCTTTTTTAAATCATAAAGAAAGAGTTGTACTTTACCATCAAGTGATCAATAAAAGCTGTATTCATTATACGCACGCACACATTGTGTAGCTGTGTTTGAAAAGGTGTCTACACACACTGTGTTCAGTGTGTTTGTAGGTGTGTGTGTGTGTGTGTGTGTGCGTGTGTGTGTGTGTGTGTGTGTTCTACCTCAGCAGTTGATCCGGTCTCTGCTGGTCTGTTGATGAAGTCCAGCTTCAGACGCTTCTCAATGTACTCCAAGTCCGCCTCAGACTTCACAAACTGAAAGCAGACACACACACACACACACACACACACACACACACACACACACACACACACACACACACACACACACACACACACACACACACACACACACACACACACACACACACACACACACACACACACACACACACACACACTTCATTTTCATCATCCTCCTTCTCAGACATGGACGAGTTTCCTGAGTGTAATAATCTGACTCACATAATCAGAAAAAAAAAACTGCACGGTTCAGATGAAGCTTAAGTCTCTGCGTTAACTATGACACAACCTAATTTACAAACTTACTTTCTATGTAAGCTTTAGTGTGAACTTTACACCAACTTAGATGGTGCAACAGGCCACATTTCACAGCTGCAGTGTGTGTGTGTGTGTGTGTGCTGCTTTCAGATGCTTTGACAATACTATTGCACTGCTCGCTGTCTCATACAGTAGTGCAATGAAGTCAGAGCAGCTGCCAACAGCTTACCACAGTCTCACTCTTCCACATTTAAAAAAAAATAAATACATTTTAACATAAAAGGTCTCTCTCTGTCATGTTCAAAAGACTCTTAGAAGAACAATCTGAAACTGTCAGTGACAAAAACAACAACTTTTAATGCACCACCATGACAGCCTCTCTTGCTGCTGCTGCGGAGCTAAAAGAAAACTGTTTCTATGTTAATAAATGAGGTTAAAAACACGTTGGAATAAACCTTAAGCATGCATCTGAAATGTTAGTTAGTATCGTCTCCCTTCCCTTTCTGAAGAACAACTGTGAAACTGTGTGTGGTAGTAATGTGTGCTGGGATAGAGGGCTTTGAGTGTGTGTGTGTGTGTGTGTGTGTGTGTTCAACACAGTTTGTTATGATACACTGTGTTGAATACTCAGTTTGTTATGATACACTGTGTTAAATACTCAGTTTGTTATGATACACTGTGTTAAATACTCAGTTTGTTATGATACACTGTGTTGAATACTCAGTTTGTTATGATACACTGTGTTGAATACTCAGTTTGTTATGATACACTGTGTTAAATACTCAGTTTGTTATTATACACTGTGTTAAATACTCAGTTTGTTATGATACACTGTGTTAAATACTCAGTTTGTTATGATACACTGTGTTAAATACTCAGTTTGTTATGATACACTGTGTTGAATACTCAGTTTGTTATGATATACTGTGTTAAATACTCAGTTTGTTATGATACACTGTGTTGAATACTCAGTTTGTTATGATACACTGTGTTGAATACTCAGTTTGTTATGATATACTGTGTTAAATACTCAGTTTGTTATGATATACTGTGTTGAATACTCAGTTTGTTATGATACATTGTGTTGAATACTCAGTTTGTTATGATACACTGTGTTGAATTGAATACTCAGTTTGTTATGATACACTGTGTTAAATACTCAGTTTGTTATGATACACTGTGTTGAATACTCAGTTTGTTATGATACACTGTGTTAAATACTCAGTTTGTTATGATACACTGTGTTGAATACTCAGTTTGTTATGATACACTGTGTTGAATACTCAGTTTGTTATGATACACTGTGTTGAATACTCAGTTTGTTATGATACACTGTGTTAAATACTCAGTTTGTTATGATACACTGTGTTGAATACTGTGCTGTCACCTCACTGTGCTGTCACGTTAGCAGGCGGCCTGCTGTACAGTCTGACTGTTTATGACTTCATCTGTGGACTTCTCTTGAGAGTGACAGGCATCGCGATGATAGAAATGATCGATCATTTATAACCTGCAGATTGTCTCAGTAATCGTTTCACCGCGCTCGTGTCTTTTTTAAGACTGATAAACAACAATAAAAACAGTTTCACAGTTAGCTCACCATCGCTTCCAGCCGCTCCACTGTGGTCTCCATGTTGAACTGTTGTCAGCTTGATGCCCGCGCTCTGATTGGGCAACTGCGAGGAGCGGAGAGAGCTGATTGGTCAACTGCGTGAGGAAGAAAGCCTCTGTGTTGAGTGCCAGTCATTTTTTTTTTTCTAACAGCAAAAAAAAACTTTATTAACACAGCGCTTTGATCAGAACGCGGCAGGTTTTGTGTGTTCGTGTAAATATCATCCCGAAGGTTTTGGGAAATCTCTTCCGTAAGCATGTCGTACTTTTAAATCTATACCAGAGATTTAATTTACACACGTTAAGTTTCAAAACACGTCTTGAAAAATATTCGTTATTATTCTCTTCATTAAAAAAAAACATGAAAAAGGCTCACGAAGTGCACAAACAGCACACTGTAACATCAACTTTTAACAATAATGCTCAGAGGAGAAACAATGCAGATCAATTAGAATGAGCTGAACTTATTGCTTATCTAAAAAAAAGAAGAAAAAAAAAAGAGTATTTTTCAAATTGTCAGCTAAGGACACACTAACATAATTGTTTACAACACAATAAGTCTAAAATGATATTAACACACACACACAAAAAAGACAGATCTAAAGAAAATGCAGATCCCATCTTGTTGCACAACCCTGTTTCCAAAAAAAAAAAGAAGTTGGGACACTTGTTCTCATTCGTCTTTTCATGAAGTTCACACTGTATTGAGACCAATACATTATTATGAAAAGTAATCCCTGAATCAGTTTCCAAAACTTTGCACTTAAGCGTTTACATTTACATGTTGCAGTTGTCTGTAACTCACACACATAAACACCCGTACAAGTGTCAACTTTAGATTTAAAGTCAGAGTTCAGTCTTGTGGTATTTCCTCTCTAAAATGTAACTTTTAAAGGCTAGGAGGAAACCACGCATTGTTGCTGTAGACTATGATATCGTAAAAACAGTTCTAATTTATTCCTGTGTTTTAGCTTCTGTTTATTTGACTTCTTGTCTCTGTCTGATTAAATACAGTGTACTGTATATCATCTACAGGTCACTGAAGATTATTTGGTCATTGTTAGAATGAGGTTAAGGTAACCCTCATAGACATCCTGTCAAAGAGAACCAGAAAAACAAAACGGGTATATTTTGCACATTGTGAATTTATTTGGCCGTACTTCTGACATTTTCACAGGCTCTGGATCAGTCTGACTTATTGTAGAAAACACAGGAGACATATTTACAGACACACTGACTGACTGACTTCAAATATTAACAGTGATGCTTTTTACAAACATATCAATAAACTACTAAAAACAAACACAGAAGCTTTTCCACAAAGCTCTTTTTTTTTTTTTTTTTCCCAAAGTGTAATAAACGACTGGGGGAAATGTTTAATTCAACTAAATGTGTTCACGGAGTTTAACTGGAACAGAGTTTTTATTTCAGTTGTTACAGTTTAAATCCTGAAACAGATGATCAAGGGGTCACATATAAAAACTATACTGTACACGTGTGTGTGTATGTGTGTGTGAGAGGACATCCAGGAGATCAGTGGATGTTTCTTCATCATGCAGCACATCAGTTTTACAGTCCGACCAATCACTGCAGCTCTTCGTCAGCAGCTGAGTTAGGATGAGGAAGCTCCAGACGCTCACACTCGGTCAGCTTGAGGGTCAGATGCTGAGCAATCTCATTGGGATCAGTGTACAATGCAGGCGGAACGTTCTATGAGAGGAAGGCAGGGATAAAAATAAATAAATATACAGGACGTCACAGGAGATTTAGAACTACGTCTTCGCACACATCACAACCAAAAAGAAGCTCATGGACAATAAATCATGATGGAATAAATGTTGCCGCAAAGAAACTTAAGTCTTTCCTGGAAGTCTATTTCTGAGATGGGCTCACAGCTGAAGCAGACTGAACATCTTTGCTGCTGTGCACAGCATTCTTAAAGCAGTGAGAATCATATATCAAACTCCCGCTGCAGCCCGCAAGACATGTCAGACTCCTCCCCCTCTGTCGGTTGTATCAAAGCGCCTTCACACACCTGTGCACGTTCTGTCTGTAGTGTGTCAGATCTCACCTTCAGCTCTGTGATCCTGCTCTCCCTCGTACTGAACTCTCGCAGCATGTAACTCTTTCCAGCCTGGAGACACAAATACTCAGTCACTGTGTGTTATTATTATTATTATTATTATTCATACTACACCGTGTATATTTTATGGTTGTGCATTTGGTGTTACTTTAAATGCTTCACTTTGTGTATTTGATCACAAAGCCTGTGTGTTTGCAGCTGACCTCGTAATAGAGCCGAGTGTCGTTTATTCTGATCAGGACTCCATCCACTCGCAGGAAGAAGCGCAGCAACAGGAAGAAACTGGTAGGCATCACCCTCTGTACACACACACACACACACACACGCACACGCACACATTAGAATTTGACGCAAAAGCCCATCATGACAGCGTGCATGACGTCACCTGCAGGAGCACACAGCAGCTCAAGCTCATTATTTCATGTCACTCTACTCAGTCTGCGACGCTGAATCTGATCAGCTGTTGAACACGACCACTCACAATCTTGACGCTGATCATGGACACTCCGTGGTCGTGCAGCTCGTCCTCAAACAGCAAAACCTCGTCGAAGAACATGATCTGCTCCCGCGCCTTCAGCTTTTCCAAGTCGATCCGCTCCGACGTCTTCGTCACCTGCAGAGGACGGACACACTGATCAACAGGTAGCCCTTTAATGTAACAGAGTGTCTGACGTGACACAAAGAAACTCACCTCCATCTGCATATCCTCTCCTATTAGAGTGCCTCTGTAGTCTGTGGTGTAGGTCCAGTCGTACGGACGCACAACCTCTTTGGAGTGCTCAGAGTCCGCTCTGCAGACAAATCACAACACGTGCACGTTTCCTGTCAACAACAACAATCCGGCCTGCCAGCGGGGGTTTTCAATGTGTTGTATGAATAGCATAATGTGTTCAGATTGGTTTCAGTTAACTCCTCGGCTTAATGTAATTACACATGTTTTCTTTTCTGTTTCGTACCAGCATGCAGTGCTCACTGATTGGTACTGGTACCTTTGATTAAATGATTTTAAATAATAAATCATCTAGCAACCTTCAGGTCCATGTACTGAGTCGTGTAGATGTTGGCCTCCAATAAAGCAAATATGGTAACAACGCATCCCTTTAAAAACCACATGGCTTTTTTTTTTTTTTTACCTCAGCATGACGGCAAAAGAGAGCAAAGAAAGAAGAACTTCAACAGAAACCAAACTGAGAGGTTCTGAGGGAGTAACTCACAAAAGAAAACATGCTGCATGGAAGAAGATGACAGATGCAGTACACTCTGTTGGGTCACAGGAGAGAACATTTCAGAAAACAAAGAAGAGGTGGATTGATATTAACGTCAGCGCATTTCATACGCAACTGAAGGACAACGGAGTACCATAGAGATTTCATCCTTGGCCAATCATGTGTCAGAATTCTAGACACAGCTCCCTCTGGGATTAATACCCAAGAAGACAGCGACACCTTCACCAGCAGAACAAGCTGAGCTAAACGGCACGCTCTCTGAAAACACGCTGGTTGCATAGGTTTGCCAAATCTTCCAAAAAAGGCAAAATGAGCGACGGGACTACATTTCATACATCCTTCACAGATGTCTTTGAAAGGTTTTGACACCAATTAGGCAACATGTCCTTTTCAAACTAGACAAATTTACCTCCTGAGTGTTTTTAAATTAAAGAAAAGGTGCAACAAACGTGGATGTTGAGTTTGTTAATTTCATGCTGAGACACTTGTAATGCTCCGTATTTATAGTTTTACTATTCTTCCAGTAGATTCTGTGAGTAAGCGTGGTCAGAGCTGTGCTTACATTCACACACATTCCTAAGTATGAATTGATAAAGTCCACACTTGCACTCAGTCTAGGGGTCGGATGCCTCGAATTCATTGATTCCGGTTCTTATTGATTCCAATTTCAATAATTTTGGAGAGTAAAAAAAAAAAAAAACATTTGAAGAACAAAAATTAGCACATGGATGTGCTTCCTCCCTTACATCAAATGTCTTTTATCTGGTGCCATTTTTAAGTTTAGCAACTTATTAAAGTCTTAAAATTTCCTTCAAAAAAGGTTACAACATTTCTGTGTTTTTTTCTGTCCATTATGGTTCTTTGAAGATGGAAAATCTGACTTGGCCATAATCAGAATACAGAGGTCAGGCCTTGAAAGTGAGATTCGGCCAAAGAAATTGCAATCAACGCATCTCTAGTTTGAAATATGAATCCTGAACTAAAGCTCCTGCAGCAGTGAGAGAGTGAGGGGCGTGTCCTACCTGCTCTCCTGCCACTCCTGAGCACACGCCACCTTCACAGCATCCTCCATGTTGTTGACTCTCTTCAGCGCGTCGATGGCATTGAACTCGATGCCAAAGCCGTCTGTGTGCTGGATTCTGAGGACGTTATCTCCAAACAGCATCTCAGGCAGGGAGGGCATGTTCATCTCCTCTGCTAACCTGCAACCCCAACAGGAAACAGGAAACACGACATAAACGTACACACCCAGTCATCACAATCCAACCGGTAGACCGCTGCTAGGCCTGAATATTCAGACAATAACAGACAAGTTGAAAATGAAGTTTTTAAACCTCAGTCCTGTTTTTATTTTGGGTTCTAGGTGACTCATCTGTGGGACTTAGTGGGACTGGAATTTGGAATCGGCAGAGTTTGTAGTTTCTGCTTGTAGTCTCGTCCACTAACATTTCGAGGCAGTCATGTGACAACAATTCAGCTTTGACTGATCTCTGTAAGTGCAGCTTCAGTCTTCAACACCACTGTTCAAAAGTTTGACTAGCCTACGCATGTCACCCCAAACCGTCTCTACCATCATTTCCTGTTGCCTGTCCTGTCAAAATAAAGGCAACAGCCCCAAAATGAATTCTAAAACAATCAAAGCAGACAAACACACAGCGGTTAACACGAGGGACCGTCTCACCGCTCGATGTCTTTGGACTTCATGATGTGGTTTCTGGCTGCCGTCACTTTCCAGGGTCCGAAGGTGAAGTCCTGCTTACTGCTTTTGAATCCATGTGACATCATGGCTGACAGAGACACCAACATCAACTGCAACACAGACGCAAACAGCAGAGAGTCCGTTAAGAAACGCCCCGACATAAACACGACTTTCATTTGTACAGCACAAATTCGGTTCGATCCCCTGCAGCCGCATGTCCAATGTGTCCTTGGGCAATGCACTAAACCCAGCTGCTTCATCGGCGGCGTATGAATGCTTAGTTATATCTGATGGTCTCACTACATAGAAGCCTCTACCATCAACGTGTGAATGGGGAAGGTGTGACATGCGGTGTAACGATCACTTACCAACACCATACTCTGTATTCAATTATTTATAAAAACCCTACATCAGTCCACTCTGAGCAAAGCACTGCCTTTAACACCTCGAGCAGAACCACACTCATGTTGAACATCCAGACAAAACAACAACAACAACAACAACAACAACAATGAATATAACTGATCTATAGCTACAATTCCAGTCATAATAAAGTATACACTCTGAAAACAAAGTATGATAACCTGCTGATCATTCTAATATTAACACTAACTATTGAAATGACAGTAAAATGGGGAAGTCTGATCATTTTAATTGTAGTTAATAATAATAATAATAATAATAATAATAATAATAATAATAATAATATACATTATTTGATGAGATGGTGAGTGATGTGTTTACATTCACAGTAAACTGGATTATAATTTATCGACTGGTGTCTCCTCCACTCTCATCACATGTGAGGAGGAACTACAAGGAGAGGAGGTGAGGAAAGGAATTGAGGAGGTACAATAAGAGATGAAGAGGGAGATGAAACTCACAGCCCGGGTTTAGAAATAATAAAACAGTTCCTGGTTGTTAGATTTATCAACACATTTCAAACACAACCCTCTTTTAATGTACTCAAGTCAATTAAGTCATTTATCAATCAAAACGCTTCTTTTTGCACCTTAATCTATCATAATGCTTTTTTTTATCCACTCATACATCATATTATAAGACTGATAATATCACACCAGCTTTGTTCTGTCTTACTGAAATGATCTCCGGACAGTAATAGTAAAAACCTGAGATCTTAATGATTGTCATTTAGCTTCTGAATGTTTGCTCTCTCATCGTCACACTGATGTCAGTCTGTACATCTGCGTGTTGAACATTAAGCACCACACAAAGTGTCACTGCTTCTACACTGAGAGTTACATGAATGTGAAAAAAAACAAAAAACAACAACCTCTGTTTACCTCGATTTAGTAGTTAACTGCTGCCTGTCATGGAAGCTACTGAGTCCGTCTGAAAAGCTGCCCGTGTGTCCGCTCTGGCTCCCGCTGTGGTTCCGCTTCTCCTTCTTCTTCTTTGTGTTGTTTCACCGGCCGGGTGCGGGGCTCAGCTCGCCCCCTGCTGGCGCTTTTGGTCATACTGCAATCCCGAACAGCTGTTTTTTTTTAATACTTTTTGATTGTACTTACATTCGTGTTTAATTTTTATTTTCGATGTAAATTATGATTGTCAAATTATGATTCACATGTCAGTAAAGCCCATTTGAATTTCATTTAGTGAAGTCGAATAAATCACTGTGATCATAGTTCTTAGTGATATATAATAATAATAATAATTAAGGTAACCAAAAAAGCAGACAGACTTCTAGTCATGTCAAGTCACTTTATTTATATAGCACGTTTAAAAAAACAGACCAATACCAACGTAAGGATGATATTTTTTTAAAAGCTTATGGAGGAATACAGTTAGAACAAAATACAACCATATAACTTCATGTGTAGAGCTGCAGAGGTACATCAACGCGTGAAATCCAACACTGTATCAAACCTCTGTCAAACTGTTGACATGTACAGCTGGGGTGGTATTCTTTTAACCCTTTGTGTCAGCTATAAATCCACCTTTGATTCAATGCTGGACCAGAAATAAATCCATGATAGGCCAGATGAATCCATGTGAGTTCAGATCTGTCTGTAATCACAGCAGACACAGTGGTGTTCAGATCTGTCTGTAATCACAGCAGACACAGTGGTGTTCAGATCTGTCTGTAATCACAGCAGACACAGTGGAGTTCAGATCTGTCTGTAATCACAGCAGACACAGTGGAGTTCAGATCTGTCTGTAATCACAGCAGACACAGTGGAGTTCAGATCTGTCTGTAATCACAGCAGACACAGTGGTGTTCAGCTTTTCTACACACTGAAATTAAACTTTTTGCTCATCGTAAGTTATCTGCTTACTTAGTTAAAATCACTAACAGTAATGCTCACTACACTTACTGAAGTACAGTCGCTTCACTGTGAAAAAGGGAAAAAATGAATGAAATCTAATCTTCAAATCCATGAGTTAACATTTACTGACATATAGCTCCTGAGAGAGCGACAGCAGTTATGTCAGGCCTTCTAGTATCCAGGAAAGTGATATCACAGGTAAAGACTTGCTTTTTCCTTCAGCGGCGATACAACCTCACTTTATACAACTTCTTTTACAACACTTTAAAACACTTCTAAAGTCTTACACTCATCTAAGGGCTTTCTTGTCATTTTTTTTGTATTGTGTCTTTTAGTCTACCATTGTTCCCCTTATGCAATGTCTTCCTCTTTATTGTTTATTGTTAAGATTTTTTTGTTGATAAGGGCTGAATAAACAAACTTATGATAATTAATCGTATTACTGTTATAAAGTGTGAGAACAATTTGTGACGTGAGATGGAGTCTGAAAGAAGAAACAATGAAAGGAGCTGGACATCCATATGCACTCACATCAGATTTATATTTATAGAAACTCAATGCTTTCACATATTAAGTTGTAACAGTTAGTTATAAAGTTGATTTATTGAGTAAAACGATCAAAACTTGACTGTTTAAATGCATGTACACAGGTTAGTGCGTCTAAAAGTCAAAGTTGTCCATGTCAGACTAAAACATGTAGATAATACAGTTGCAGGATGAATTTCTCTTGCTTGTAAATGACTCAACATATGCATTTTTGAGAAATTTCAATCTGGTTTTGCAAACAACACAGCACAGAAACTTCTCTATGGATAACTTAGGATTCATGAAAGGTAGCTGACTCTGCATACTGCTCCATACTGGTGTGGCTTGACTTTAGCGCAGCTTTCAACACCATTGAACATGTTACTTTAATAAGCAGACTACAGGATGGGGTAGGAATTTCTGGTACTGCCCTTGACTGGTTTTCCTCCTCTCTTTTAAACACAAAATGTTATGTCTCTTTGATTAATTCGTCATTTATACTGCAGAGACCTCATGTGGCACACCACAAGGATCAATTCTTGGTCCAATTCTGTTTTGCCATGTTCGCATTATGTCATATCATTCGTCATCACAACATTTCATGTCATTGTTATGCTGTTGACACCCAATTATATTTATCTCTAAAACCCACTAAATACAATAAAGCAGCTACACTTCAAAGCTGTTTAACTGTTGTAAAAGACTGGATGTCACAAACTTTTTACAACTATTGTCCTACAAAACAGAAATTCTTCTTATTGGACCTGAGAATAGTCGGAACCAGATCCAGCCACTGCTCGGCCCACTACTCTCAAATGTTAAAAGCCTTGTTAGAAACTTGGGAGTTACATTTGAAAGTGACCTAAGTTTCAATCAAAACATCAAGAAACTATTTAATCCTGCTTTTTTATCAACCTCGAAACACCTCAAAGATCAGGTCAATTTAATCTTTTAACAAAACAGAATCAAATATTCATGCTTTTATTTCCTCATACTAGATCATTTCAGTTGAAAAGCATAAATGCGTAGCATAAAAGAAGATGTGCTGTCGTCTGCCTTCAGATTTCACAATAAGCTAGAGGGATAGCGTGCATTGCATTTGTACCAAGGGTAACGCAAAGAATATGAAAAAAAGTACATGATTTCACCATTCAACATACAACCAGTTTGCCACTTGCTAACTTGACGGTAAGGTCAACCAGAACCAGTCCAATCGTAGCTATGGTATTTCACAACCTCCTCTAGTGGAGTCAGACATACTTCCATCAACAAATCATTACTTTGTCAGTGTTTGTATTCTGGAACGAGAGCAGTAGTCCATTTGAATGCCTCAATTTTGCCAAGCATGTAACATTCATAGTCAGGGCTGGACCTGCGTCGGCTTTATTAAAGAGGAGTCAGTAAAGAACACGCAGAGTCAAAGAAAGACAATAAAATGATAAAATAGATGTAGTGCTGGGTTATAGCGCCACCAGCAGGCACTCCGACCACAGGGCAAGGACTAGACTGAGTTTTTCCTCCTGTGAGTGCAGCTGGAGCTGGACCACGGGGACCTGCTCCTCCTTCTGAAGCTGCTGCAGGGCCTGGAGGTGGGACAGAGGGAACTGTAGACCCTGCATGGACAGAGACACACACATGGAAGCGCACACTGATTAGCAAATACACTGACTTCTGGTATTTGAGGAACTAGGGAAAAGACTATTATGCTACAAAAAGGTGGACATGATTACAGAATGAGAGGTAAACAAACTGTTAAAACCAAACTAACAGAGGTACAGGTGTTTGTGGTGACACATGTGGCAGATGTGGACATTAAGGAACTTTGTCCAGGTCCTCCTGTGACAGCTTACTCTGATGATAATATTTAAGAGTAACTAAATCACCAGACAACTTTTTTCAGCTGAAAACCTGATTATAGCATACAGTAGTAGTGGCAGCAAATCTCCACATTTGAATTCAAAGTCTTAAAATCCTACATATTATGTTAGAAATAGCAACTGCCCTCTACAGGCTGAAACCTGGTTGGTGCAATTCAATTGTTCTATTTGCTGATCCGGTGTTTGGTGACACCTGTGGGTAAGTGTTTTTGCTGGGGCGAGTTCATCCTGAGAGAAAGAGGAATCAGCGACTGAAGTCTTACCCTGGAGATATCCCGGTCCTCCTCTTCATCACCTTCACCCATCATGTGGCTCTCCCTCTGGTTCTTCAGGGAGTGTAACACAAACACAACCTGCTCTGTGGCCTCTTCCTAAAACACACGTTCACATAACGTATAGCTGGTCAGTGCAGTTCAAACTCAGACAATGATTGGTAAGAAATTGTCAGTTAATCCTGTTGTGACAGGTCGTCGCTTTCAAAATCTAACATGTGACTGCAGGAGCTGGAGATCAAATCCCCAACATTCGGGTTGAGAGACATCTGACTATATCACTGAGCCACCAGAAAGTGTAACTTGTTCATGTTGAAGTTTTTCCTAATGAGCTTAACTTTCAGGAGGATCGTTAAGGTTAATTGATTTGAATAATCTCTTTCCTGAGGTTGAACAGTTTTTGTTGAAAGAAATGACCAATGTCAGGGTTTTAAGTGGTAAATAAAAAGTTGATATTCTCTTTTCAATTAGCCAACAAAAGGGCTTATCAGTCTGCATATGATGTTAATGAATACAAACAGTATGGAAAGACTATGGCTGCTGTGAGAACAATGACATACAAGAGTGTGTTTCAGTCTTGTGTGTGCAGGTTTAGTTTATGAAAACATTTTATTTATTTTTTTTACAGGCAACACATTTCAACGTCTCAATGAAAACTTAAACAGACTCACTGTTCTCTGCTGGGAGGGCTCCACTGTTATCACCATGTGCTCTTTAAACCTCAAACACACCACATCCTCCAGGGCAGGGATCCTTCCAGCTGTGACACACACACACACACACACACACACACACACACACACACACACACACACACACACACACACACACACACACACACACACACACACACACACACACACACACACACACACACACACACACACACACACACACACACACACACACACACACACACACACACACACACACACACACACACACACACACACACACACACACACACACACACACACACACACACACACAGCTACACATTTAGACTCTTAAGTTGTCATATTGAGTCGTATTGAAAGAAGGAGAAAGAGTCTCACATGGAGCGATCTGCTGCTCGCTGTATGGAGGCAGTCTGTTCGTGATGAAGTCTCTCTTCAGGTGAGTGCATCTAACTTCAAGTTTCCCCGTTTCCATCACATCAGCCAGGGACCTGAGGTGAGCTGCCAGCCGCCTGCAGGTGTCCTCACTTCCACCGTTGCCCTGCACACGCATACGCACAAACACATTATCAGGATGGTTTTCCCTCTCGAGAGGAGAGACAGCAGCAGTGTGGATGTGTAACACCCTGGACCTGCTGCTATCGCTCTTAGTCACACTCACTGAGTGAGTCAAAGTCACCGACTGCTAAAAACAACTCAACTCATCCTTGTTTGTATCGCACCTTTCATTCATAACAGCTTGTGGCCCCAAGTGCTTCAAAAAGAACACACAGACAGGACACTAAGCTCCATTTACTGATTCTACATAGAAATATAGAATCTGTTCAGAGAGATCTGGATTTTCCTTAAGGGAAGTGTTCCTATTTCAGTTTGTAGTACATTTGTAGTCCAAGCTGTATTGACCAATTACGTTTCAGCAGACTTTGACATGTGGAGGAAAAACAGTCCGCCTGGATGTCAAATAAAAGGTGGAATGTTTTACCTGACATACCAGCTCATTTCTGTAGTATTCTAATTATTTATACAACTCTAATAGAAATCTGCATAAAAGTGTGACGAGCAATCAGTACTGATCAAACATTTCAACTTGAGTCATAGACCTCCATCCAACAAACAAAACATTTTTAAAGTAGTTTTTTTTTTTTCATCCTAATGACAGACCTGACAAAACTGGACTTTAAGAAAAATCTGCATCATGACAGTGTTATTTCAGTAAAGTTAATTCCATTAATTGCAAATAAATCAGTGAAGTGAGCCAGAGTAAAGCAACTGTATAACTAAAAACAGACACTACTCCAGAGGATGTTATGGGCCAAGAAACAAAAGGTACTTATGTCTTCAATGTAAACGCTGCACGGTAATGGAAATGTTGTCTGTAAACTGTTTAACACTCAGCACTAGAATTTCACATCAGATCCCAGAGACACACGTCATGTTTGTTGGGTTTTTGTAGATAAAAAAAAAAACAATGAGTAAGGTCTCATACCTGCTCTTTGAGATAACATTTTTTATGAATTGGGGCTATACAAATAAAGATTGAGTGATTGATGTGAGATTAAGAGATGATGATTTCTGATTGGTTGTGAGATGAGCAGGACACAAACACAGAAACTGACAAAAAAATAATAAAAAGATAAAACACTAAAACTATGAAAAATTAGAAATTATAACTAACTGACGGAGCAGCGGAAGAAACTAGGGGTTAAGTATCTTGCACAAGGACACACACTGTAAGACATGTGGCAGCAGGCAGTGGTGTAGCTGTGCCTAAAGAAGTGGGTATACTCTTAATTGTTTTTTTAAGTGGCCCGTCTAGCAGAGTATAAACAGCCTCTGTTATAAACAGTGACATGTGTGTTTGTGATTTCTTCACCAATCTCGTACCAGGAGTTGTTTACTTCTCTGTCAGAGATCTGCTTGCTCTTTTTAGAATTACACAAACAAAACAACTAAAGTTAGCTTTAGGTGAATATGTATGACTAATACATTTGGCATATAAGGTGAATAAATCAACAGTAATAAGGGTTACAATAACAAAACAGTCACTCCGAAGACAGTGAACATCTATTCCAGTCAGAGAAAGAGGCGTCTTTTGTTGCACTAGGTGAACCTATCATTGTCTTTAATTCTCAGTCACCGTATGCTGAACGGTAATCTTGTGATAATGTAATTAGAATAATCTGGCAAAGATTGTACCAAGTGCAAGTGTAGTTTTTAGAGTGTAGTTTCCTGTGCTTGCATCTATAATGCTGCACCACAGTCACCTCTGTACGCGTAGTGATGAGCGTGATGATGCCTTGGCAGCAGGGGGGGGGGCGGATCCAGGGGGTGGTCGGGGTGGCCAGGGCCCACCTTGTAATCTGATGTGTCACCCTGTGTTGCTAGTAGCTGTCTTTGCATTTCAATGTGGCACTTTGGGGTATTTTCAAATTCTAATTCGCAAAAGTATTTTCAAATTGTGATTCATTGACCATGACACACACGTTCTAACAGAGTAAACAGAAATGACTTTTTTTTTTTTTACCAGCAGGATTCTTTGGGGCATGCCCTCTCTCAGGCTGACATCAGTCCTGCTGGATTCAGAAAGCATGCTGGGAAGAACATCCAACAGCAGATCTCCCCATGACCTTAGAGAGGACAGGTACACAGAACAGTATTAATCCTTGAGTTTATGCAGTCCAATCATGGAGACCTCCTTTAACTCATACTTTAGCAGTTCATGATCCCAATGGTGTTACACTGCCCACCCAGCTGTTATACACTGTGCCCCCTATATGTTTCAGTGCCCCCCTGTTATACACTGCGCCCCCCCATGTTACAGTGTTCCCCTGTGTAAGCCCTGCCCCCCACCCTAATGTTACTGTGGCTGGGGGTCTTTACATTCTCTGGTAGGTGCTGAGGGTCAGGTGGGTGGAGTGATGGACTCCTGATGGAGTGCTGGCCTGATGGATGGTTCCTCTGGGGAAGTACAGAAGATCTCCTTCCTGAAGAGAAGACAACAAACACTGGTTGTGAATAAATGACTCACAGCAGTGTACAGGGCATTAAAACATTTCTCTGTGAAAACACTTCAGATGATACTGATGCTTGTTGCACTAATGATAAACAAAGAAAACCATGATGACATATGACACTAAACAATGTGTGTTGAAAGCAATAAAGAAGCTGAGAAACTGGATCTGTATTGATTGCAAGAGAAGGACTTTCTCCTAAAACTTTTCAGTGTGATCTGTTTGTAAAGAGATGAAGGCTGCTTCATGTTTGAAACCTCCAGGAAACTGAAGATCTCATGTTCTGCTCCTTCACAGGACAAACTGACTCACAAGTGTGATCCTTATCATACTCCAGTAGGTGCTTGACTTTTACACCACAGGTGACTGATGCTGGAATCAAGGCAATGTTTTCAAAGGAGAAGCTAAATGTGAGACGACCAGTGAAAAAGGTAGAAATGAGAAAGACAGTGGACAGTAGACAGAGCAGAGAGTAAAGAGAAACGATGAGGACAGAAGAGTGTAAGATGTTTGGATCCAAGAGAAGAGACCAACTGAAGCATGGGGGAGGAACTGAGACAGTTCATGCAATATCTTTTGGAACTTTACATAGTTATCTATACACATTCGGTACCTACATACCTTCAGTGTGATGTCATGTGTGGGGCTGCCGATCCTGTCCTCTGACTCCACGCTGTACTCTGTTGCCAGGGCAACAGTAGGACTGTAGAGACGCCAGTGTTTCTGTCCCTCCAGCTGCAGAATAAAAACCTGAGCAGAAAACACAGAATCAACACGAGAAGAATGCAAATGCAAAGAACGACTCGGACAATGTACCTGCTGTCTGCTGATCTAACACTCACTGAGTCAGGTGACTGTAGTGCTAAACATTCTGAAAGTATGACAACATTCACTGAGGTGAAAATGTGTATTTCTAGTGGTGAGACAGAATGTGGTCATCATGCAGATCATTATCAGTTATGGATGGAAAGCAGAGGAGCAGGAGGACTTGTAGCGCCTCCCACATCAAAGTGTGAGTTGATTCACACTCACGCTGTGCAGGGAAACAAGACGCCACACAAACTGAGACTCCAAACCGTAATACGATCAGACCATGGAAGAAAAAGAAGTGATAAACTCTGATAAAGATCTAACTCTGAATTATAACCATAGCACAGTCCAGGTATGACTCAAATTCATAAAACATGATCAAATACTGCTCAAAACCGTGATATGATCTGAACTGTGACTCAAACCTGTGGTAAGTTCTATCTAATTTACACCAATTAGCATCCTCTATAAACACAATGATACTGGAATTGGATTGCTGTTTTCTGTTTGTGTATGTGTATTGTTTCTGACCCTGTCAAATAAACCATAAAATAAAGAATAAAAAGACTGTGACTGTAATCCTGTTCTCCTGATATGTTTAAAAAAAACAAACACTTAAAACATGGTGGAAACACTCTGGTATAACTTAAAATAAACTTTGCTGTAAGAAGATGTTTGGGGGGGGGGGGGGCTTAGTGGTTTCAGGGCTCAGTCATTTAGACTGGTGTAGTCCAGAGGTACCTCGACATCATCGTAGTGAGCTGGGAGACCCTGAGAATCCTCCGGTGTCATGTAGACATTTGAGCCCACCAAGGTCCCGAAGAAACACTCCAGATTCTCCTGGATCTTCCACAGTTCGTCCTAATAGAGAGAGAGAGAGAGAGAGAGAGAGAGAGAGAGAGAGAGAGAGAGAGAGAGAGAGAGGACATGAAGAAACAGAGAGATTTTGTTGGCCTGAGGTCAAACATGTCTAAGAAGAAGTTCACAGGAGTGTTTGTTGCTCATTGCTTATAATCATTTCAAACGATATAACTATCACTACTCATATACTCCATATACTGGGGGGGTTGGGACAAGCCGACACAACGACACAAACACTTTCTTGGTGTTCATGTGTTACTTTTAATGACAGCTGTCCTTTTCTATTGGAAAGGTATCCTTAAATGACTTCTTTCCCTGATTTCCGACTCTATCCACTGTCCTATCTCTACAATAAAGACACAACAAGCCCAAAAGTAAATCTTTAAATCTTTTTTCGGGTGGGGGACATTGGGGGGGGGGGGGCGCCAAATATAATGTTAGGGGAAACACTGCATTGTGATGAACATTAAACAGAATCCACGAGGCTCACATGGACCTCCACTTCTCCTGAGCTGCTGTCCAACTAACATGAATGGATTAATAATCGCACTAATGGACACTTAAGTGTGACTTGCGGCGTATGAAGAGTCGTCAGAAGACTAGAAAAACGCTGTACAAGCTCAAGCCCAGTGGTTCTACTGTAGCTGCAAAATGGACTTGAGCTTGTATAGCACTTTTATAGTCTTCAAACTACTCCAAGAGCTTTTACACAGTGAGGAGCAACTGGGGGTTAAGTGTCTTGTGGCCGCAGGAGCTGGGGATCAAACCCCTGACCTTCCAGTTGAGAGATGATCGACTCCACCAACTGAGCGAGTTGGCCGTTTCAATGTCAGCGCGAGCTAACATTATATATGTTTACAGCAGCCACTGAAGCCTGGCGTACACTGAACAATCGTAGACATTTTGGGGATGAAATGTCGGCTCACACTGTACGACTAAACCTACTGAAGACACTCGACCAAAGCTCACAATTTATACGCTCACACAAAAAGACCAGATTGTCGGCACAACCTCAGAGCTCACACCGTGCGAGTTAAATCAAAGCGGTGCAGTCACAATTCACAACCTAGGCCTCCATACGATTGTTAAAAAGTACATGTGCTGAGCGAGCAAGCTTTGCTCGACGACATTAAATGGATTGAATGCTGCTTTCTTCACTGAGACTCTGCAGAGGGGTATAGTGGCACTACATTTATTTCACATTATGATGATACATTTTCCAGTGGCTGAACTGTGGAGGGCGGTCTGAACAGATCGTGGATCCACTTTAAAGTTTTGCACCCCTACTGATAGGTCCTGGTCCAGATAGAATTTAGGACGAGGCCAACTGTGCTGATAGATGGACTAGCATTAGCATTAGCATCCCGACTCTCACCTTAAACCTCTGGGGCTGGTGGAATTGGATGGTGGCTTTATTCTGGAGCAGGCTCTTGTTGAGGACGCTGTGTTTGACACGGCCCTCCTTGTTGAGGTCTTTCTTTTGGCCGTTGATGCAGCGGACCACGTTGACATCGCTGTAGTACTGAAGACCCTCAGAGCACAGAGCCTGCAGGTCTGACAGCTGGAACAGAGACTTGTAGTAGGCGGCTATGGAGGGGTCAGACCTCTGCAGGTGGAGTGGCTTCTTCTCCCAGAACTCCCTGAAGAATGTGTCTGAGTTCAGAGGCTGCAGGAGGCTGCTGAACAGGTCTGCAGGGCCGTGGAAGCTCAGGGGGGAGAGGAGAGCGGGGGGGTCGCCGGGCTCCACTCGGCTCTGTTTGGGAGCGAGCTGCTCTTCTTCACTGCTCTGCCTCTTGACCTTGCTCTTCTTCGGCATTTTGATCTGAGGAAACAGGATGAGAGCAAAGTCAGAGGAATCTGGAAAAACTGTGAAACGGTGACGGTATTACTCCACAGAGTTAAAAGTCCCAGTAATTTTGTTCTCCATGTCGGCACTCATCGAAAGCCTCTGGTCACATCAGACTACTCACTGTTGTTTCATAAAAATTACAGTAGTTGGTCTATGTTTCGATAAGCTTGTACCTCAGCACCACATGGGCCAAAAATGTAGCATAACATGATTATTCATAACTATAGACAAATGTGCTTAATATAAAGTAGATGGTCTGCTGAAATGTAAAGCCACACAACAACAACATGAGTGCATTCAATTTTGACTTGCTTGAAAAGAGCACAATCAAGCACTGACATTTTTTTTTTGTGGGCAGGCATATGAATTATAAAATAAACAACAGATTATATTCTGTTAAAACTTGTGAATACTTTTTATTCTTAATTAAAAAAAAAAAAAAAAAGTGATATCACTCTCCAGTTCATTTAAACGTTATGGGGTCAATTTTATTCTTTACAGTCTATGGGGAAAAACATCCACATTTAGAGCAGGTTTCAGGGGTTGTTATACGTGTTACTGCCACCAGATGTCGCTATCTGCTCATTTTAAAGAGCATACAATTCAGATGTTGATTCAGCAGCTAAAACAGAGAAAGTATAATGAATCTTTATCCTCTCCTCATAACATAACATGTCTGATGATATGTGTGTGTGTGTGTGTGTGTGTGTGTGTGTAACAGAGGTTTAAAGCCTGCAGAGTGAGTCGGATGCACACACAGGTGTTACACCCTGTGCACCGTGTACAGGAGGTTATACAGTAAAATAAGTCAGGTGTAAAGCAGGCTAGTGGGTCTACACCGCATACAGTCCTGAGTCTGACATGTAAGAGCAGAGCAGTGATTATTCACTCACCTCTCTGTCATGGGTCCCTCACTGCTACACGTGAACCCAGCGCGCTGTGTCCCACTAAATATGTCCGACTGGAAACAAAAACGTAGACTACCAATGTGTCTTTTTTTTTTTTTTTTTTTTTTTTAACCTTAATGTGAACAGTCTATGATTTCAACAGCTTTATTTCAGCTTCATGTAGGCTACATTTCTTTTGTTTCTTGAATTAAATAGACAGAGCTGTTGACCTTTGTCATACCTGCAGCCTAGAGTGAAAATTAACCTTTTGTAATGTTAAAACAACCTCAAAAAAAAAAAAATGCAACAAAATCCAAATGTCCGTAATGTTGGTGATTTACAGATAGAGCAATCTGTAGCCTAACTATAAATTGTCAGCGACATAATGACCTGTTGTTAGTTATGCTCCAAATGCTGCTCCTCCGGGTGGAAACATAACAGAGCAAAACTATCAACAGGAACCCTCTGAAGAGACGTCCTCTAAAACACCTGCAGCTTAACCTGCTGGTTATGGAGACAGCACCATGTTTTAGAGTCCATTAAGACTCTGCATGAAAGAGAGGCAGAGTCTTATAATGCAGCTGGAAAAAAAATACACCTTAAAAACTAAACACAGAACTCCAATAAAGACTTATTTTAATAGAAAGGTACAAACACTGCAGGACTCTCAGGTAAAGAACAAGAAGCAGTAAAGAAAACAGAGAAATGTAGTTCTTCTTTATGATGATGTTGTTTCCTTGTTTCATCAGAAGAAGGACAGAGTTTTACCAACAGTCTGCATTTCATTCAGGATATCAATTAGAGAACAAGTGTTGCTGAAAATAGGAAAGGTACATGCCTGATTAAAATATATTCTGCAGAGGCCACATTGAAACAGCAGCCCTTAGGAGAATGTGATGGATGCTTCTTTCACTAGGCCTGTTCAGTTTTTGAGCATGTTTCCATCTGTGGCTCATAGTCAACTCTCAACCCAAAAGTTGAGGGTTCAAATCCCAACTCCTGTAGTCAAATGACGACGCATCTTTGGACAAGACACTGAAGACAGCCTCTAAATGACTCCCTCTGCTATTTTGAATTAGTATTTATATTATGTGACATGTAGTGAAATGTATAAAAGATGTAAGTTTGTTATATATGTTCAGCTTCTGTTCCAAACAGGCCTCATGGAACAGAACCAGCAATATAAAATGATTTATGTTCATAAATCTGATAATGAAGTAATTTCACTTTTCAAACATTGCATAATTGTCCTCGACTGAGTCCTGCCTGTTGCAATCAGAGACAATAATAAACATATTGTGTTGTAAATACAGTCTTATTGTTTATGTGTTATAATAATGTGTCAGCTGTGCTTGACCAACCATGACACACATGATGGTTTAACGTTATTGGCTGAACACTGAGACAACAAACTCTGGTTGTGTCCACTCTCACATTTTTATACAGACTATCTCTTTAAAAGAAATTAAACCAGGAATTAATCAAATCCCAGAGCTCTTTATAAATTAATACTTTATGTGTCTATGTGGATTCATGAACTACAATAAAAACCATTATATTCAGAGAGGTAACATTGCTTATATGCATTTTATTCAGAGAGAATAAGATATTGTATTATTCTATTTAGTATTTAGAAATGCTTTAAAAAAAAAAAAAAAAAAAAAATGTTGGGAACCAGAGGTTAGATTTAATATATGTTGAGCAGACTGTTGAGTAGTGAATCTTGAGATCCAGATGTAAACGTCGGCGTAGATTTTCCTCACCAGAGAAATATTCATCCATCAGCAGTGACAGGCGAGCAGAAAGTGATATCTGCTCTGCTCCAGCCAATAAAAACACACACACTGATCACACACTGATCACACTGTGAGGCTGCATTCAGGAACACTCTGTGTACTTTATGTTCAGCTCACACACTCTGAACCTCTGAACTATGCTTTATATAATCACAGTTAACTGAATATGTTGATGACATTATACAGACTCTTTATTAGAGTCTGTATAATATTTACATAACCATTTTACACAACTTTGACTTCTTTATCCTCCTCCTCATCGCTGCACGAATTCTCTTACAGATTTATTATTGAGTTACTTCACGCTCAGTAAATCCATTATGAAACACATCTTATTTATGGTTATGAAGCATTTAAAGCTGTTCTGAGCATTTTTTTTATTTTCCCACTCTTACCAGCATTAACATTTGTTTTTCTGACATTTTTTTCCTGAGCAGTTCAAATAACAGAGTGGTAAAAATGTCAATCGTACAACTTCTTTCGGAGATCCATGTCTATGATATCTTATTATGGAAAATCCAAAAGACCCCCCCAACATATGTCAACTAATGTCACATTACTTTTTCCTATGCTGCAGTCAGTATATGACTATAAATGTTATAATATGATTATACAAAGTATGGGCACACTTTAGTTAAGCTTCTTTGCATAATGTGTGTGTGTGTGTGTGCCCGTATGTATGCATATGTTCAGGTTCAATTTGCTGTTGTTTATCCTCCACAAGATGTTGTATAAATATTTGTTGTATGTTCTAAATTTGTCAATACAGAGAAAAAATAAAAAATAAAAAAGTTTAGTCTGTATTATTATTACTTATGACTTCTGTATTACTTCACCATCATAATGATTACTACTTAATTTTATAAATAATCTGATTTCACTATCCTCCCTTCCCCTTTTCTGCATAGTTATAGCTGAAATGATAATGATTGGTAGTAGTACTGTACTAATAGTACTGTACTTTTCTTGTTACCCCCACTTGTTCTACATAACCCATTCATTCTTGTCATGGTTTGTATTTGGTCAATTGTCCCTCTGTCTTTAGTTTCTTTCTGTTCTGTTCTGTAATTACACCAATTAAAAAAATGTGCCGTATGGGAATGTATTGAAGGTGTGGTGATAACAATATTGTAAGGTTGACTGAGGCTCTTATGGAGGAGCACAATGTGATATCTTTTCATGGGGCCCGGAAATCTTGACAATGCTTCTGTACGTTTATACACTATACATTTCAAACAATGTGATGGAGATATATTTTTACGTTAAAGTGTTGCTACACAGTGCATCAACAGCAAAAAGTCCTTTAATATAATAATACAAACTGATCCGGGCAGCATGCAGAGAAGGAGAAATACATGACAGCAAGTTGTCTTTACACTCTGCTCGATGAAAATTAAAAAATTAAAGAAAGCATGAAATAAACAATTTCTGTTGATATTTCTTCATGTTCTGGATCGATACTTTTTGAGTATTTGTTAGTTGTTGTTTTTTTAACTCAAAACAAGCCTGTTTTTACCCTAATGCCACAATTTAAATTATTTGAGTAAATGTTTATCTTTACACAACATTCAAGCTAACATACAGAATTAAGTAACATGAAGTCATTGAAAATACTCCAAAGAATGACATCACAACGCGTAAACACACTGTAGTGAGTGATGACGGTGTGCAGCAGAGTTCAGAGGGTTAAATGTCTGCAGGCTGGAACAACACCACTCTGTGAGGAGACCCATCATCACCTCCTCTCCTTATTTCAGTCTGCCGTCACTTTAAATCAAATCCAAAAGTCTCTCCAAATATGGAGCCACACAGAAATAAAATGCATTTAGTAAAAGCCACAGTAAATATTTTATTTATATGTGTGAGCTCTACACTAGTGTTTACATTTGTTTAAGTAAATTCTACCACAGAAGATGAAATATGAACATTTTACGTTTCATTAATTATAGTAATATTCATGAATAACTAACTGCATGATGAGTCTATAATGAACAAAAATACAGTCTTGTTGTGACAAGTTTACAATAAATCATCTCTGACTCTCATTAAAATCACACGATGATTTATATGCATTCAATTCCATAAAACATAAAGCTCCCGTGTTAGTTCAGCCTTTTGATCAGAAGCTGCTCTCAGTGAAATATACAGTAAAGCTAAAGATGGTTTTAATTAACTATATTCACTTTAAGTCATAAAGGCCTGATAATAAGTTCATTAATGACACAATCAGTGTTAGATACACACTTTCACTTTTATTAATGTTAATGTTACACAAAGTCTGATT